TAATTGCACATACATTTTTTTGTCGAAAATAAAAAAAAAAACTCAGGGAATTTGTTTTCATGTGCCTTTTGTATCTCATAACTAAGATGGTGAACAACAACTAAACCGACGAGGAAAAAATATTAAACCAAATCACAATTAACTATCCTAAACCGAACTAAAGAAACCATAAATCAATCCAAAAGTTAAAGAAAAAGGTATTTGTCCTATTTTTAATTTAATCAAATATAACCACATGTTCCCAATCATCTCCTACATCAATGGAAGTACAGCTTGGGCTTTCGTTACTCATACACTGTACCTTACTATTTTCCCCGATTTGATTTTTATTTAAATTGTCTCTATATATTTAACTTATTCATCATTATCCATGTTCTTGAAAAACTATATGTATATAGGCAGATGTATATATGTATATTGGATAGGAAGCAAATTAAAACACAAGAAACTAAAATTTTGCATCAATGAGAGGAACATGGGCTCCTCCTAGTCTTATGTTGATGTATATGTTCAATGAACCATAACATAGAGACCACACTTGTTTTTTATAATACTATAAACTATATACTATACACAGCTTATATTGTTGCAACACAAAAATAATGACTACAAATACTTTCTATTCATATTTACGTACAAGTACAACGTTTAGCTATGAACAATATATATATACAACATACTACTTCTTTACATATAGAAATGACAGGATGTAATAAACTTATTATAATTCTTCAACTTAAATTGTGTAGATATATTTCTGAAAGAAAAAAAATTGGCATATTTTTACCTACCTATCCTCTAATCAGTTATCATTGTGCGTATTGTAAAAATTTCACTAAATAACTGTTTCAATCCAAACTTTATGGAGATTTTTGTTATAAAACAAAAATATCAATCTCAAAAAAAGAAATTCTCCGTACCGATGAATAAAAACAACTGACAGTTTGAAGTCAGAATTATTAAAAGAGTCACATAGTCAAATTTCAGTTACATAAAATTTAATTGGAGATAGGTTGATATTTTGACCAATAAATAATCATCTCGATTGTTTATTTTTATTTATAAGTTTTTAAAAGTCTCGTTAATGTTGTTTGGGCAGTTAAGTAAAGAGTATAAACCAGAAAGGGAACAGAGCTACATGGTACAGATCATTCATCTGCCTAAAGAATCTTTCTTGTCTCTCTTTTTTTAACTAGATTGTGATCTTTTGGGCTTTGTGTCCACATAATTATTTATTAGTATTAATCTAAAAAATAATTTGGATTTTGTAACATAACCTTTCATTAGTGTAAGGGACAAATGAAATTATTTTCCTTCTCGGTTCACTGAATCTTACTTGGGCTTAACCCACATGGTGGGTGGGTTCACTAGAATTAGAGATTTGATCATTTATAATTAACCTCGAAACAAGAGATATCAGTTACAAATCAGACTCGTTAATTGTTCAATTAGTTGGTTCGATTCAACAAATGTTTTCGGTTAATCAATTGGC